GCTAAAACTGGAAAGCCAGGCACGGGCAAACCCGGGCAAGCAGGTCTCCTTATCTGGGCTTAATTTCCTCATCTGTAAAATGGGCGCAATCGAACGTGACCCACATCGGCAGATGCAGATGTGCTTTGGGGAGAAAAAGAAGAGAGGCATAGTGTTGTGGGATTACTGTTAGGATTATGGTTGGCAGTGGAGAGAGCTGAGACCATCCAGTTGCTTGGACCCAGAGCTACCTTCTCCATTTACTTCTCTGAACTTCATCCACTTCATTCATCTGTATGGTGAAAATAAAAGTGGCTCACTTCATATGTGGTTGTAAGGATGAAATAAGACACCCATGCAGAGGGTTCCGCACCATGCTTAGCACATAGTAAATTCTCAATCCCTCAAAACCGCTGCTGTCACCCTTCCTCCAGTTGCAGAAATGAGGCTCAGGGTGGGGAGTGGCTTGCCCAAGGTCACACAGAGAAAAGCTAGTAGCAGACGCTGGCCTATTTTGGCTCCCTCCTTCACACTGGCCGGTGTCCCTGATAGTCCGCCACTAATTTCCTCACAACAAGGTAAATGAAATAAATACACCCAAAACCACTGAACTACTCCAGTGAGGCTTGGGTCCAAGTATTGTTTCTATGGTATGTACTTGGGCATGCATGCATGTGTGATTTGTTTAGAATCCCGGCTCCAAAGAGTGGAGGCTGCGTTGGTAGGCTCTGCTACCCAGTGTCCCCCTCCCTTAGACGGTGCTTCCTACCATGAATGGCATGAAATTGCTCCATGTGATTTCAAGCGAAGTGTGCCCTTCTGGATGGTGCATGAAGTACCTTTGGTGGAACTCTGATGGAGTAGAAAGTGCACTGAATTAAAAGCCAGGAAGGGGCCGGCCCAGTGGCGCACTGCTACAGTGCGCCGCTTGGGGGCGCGGCGGCACTCCCGCCGAGGGTTCGGATCCCACATACAGACCGGTTCCCGCTCACTGGCTGAGCGAGGTGCGGGTGCGGCACCAGGGGTTGCGATCCCGTTGCCGGTCCCGGTCCGGTATGGGTGCGACACTGAGGGTTGCGATCCGTTGCCGGACACGAAAAAAGACAAAAAGGAAAACAACAAAAAAAAGAAAATATTTAATCCATGCTGGAAGAAGGTAATAGACTAGCAAGCAAGATAGGAATAGTCCCTTATCTTTAGGAGCTGACTGTCTGGCAGAAAAAGGAGCTAATGAAATTAGCACTTACCATCATGTGTGATATGGGCTATAAGAGTGGGAACACATTAAAGAGGTATCTGAACTAATCTGGAGACGATAGTTCAGTAAGACTTCAGTAAGAGGAGGATAGTTTAGTAAGAGGAGTTGATACTTAAGCTAAGAACTAAAGAATGCACTGGGATTGACCTGGTGAAGTCATCAGCACTGAAACATGGGAGCAGGTGGGATTACCCAAGGGGATGTATACTATGGCATGAGAACATCTCAGTTTAGAACAGATTCCCAATGAATACTATCTTTAGAGGATGTGTAGAGAAGAAAACAGTAAAAATGAAAATGAGACTGCAAAGAGGACTAAGTAGGAAAAGTCAAAGAGGTAAAAAAAAATCTCAGGGGATATAACACTTCTGAGCATTCACTCTGTGACATTGATTGCTAAGTTCCGGCAATCGCTATTTCACTTAATCCTCCCAGTTATCCAAAGAAGTGGTTATTACTAATGAACCCATTTTACAGATAAGGAAACTGAGGTTGGGAGAAAATAAAGAAGTCACCCAGAAACGCACAGATAGAGCCAGGAAGGACCTTAAAAAAGCTTCCCTGTGGCTGCAGGGTGGCCAGCCAGCCCTGAGGAGGCTTGTGGAAACAGAACATTCACAAACCAGGACAAGTGGGTGTCAGCTTAGTTAATTGACCTGTAAAATGGGGACAGAGGAACCTGACCCTGATCAGGAAGAGGAAAAGTAATATGACAGTAGATGAGGATGTTCTTTTGGAAGGAAAAGGAGAGAAACAGAGTGTTGTGGAATTGCAGTTAAGAGTGTGAATGGAGAACGCTCCGCATCCTTAGGTCAGACACAGCTTGTTTTCTCCCTCCCCCTCCCTCTCTGTCTCTGTCTCTGTCTCAGCAGACAGTGAATATCCCTGCCTCTCCCCAGCCCAGCCTCTTTCCAATTCCTTCCAAAGATCAAGATCTTTCTAGAGCCATGACCTGAGAGGGAAACAGCACCCCAATTTCCTAAGCACCAGCCAAGAGTCCTCCTTGATTCTAGAATGCAGCTGAGAGAAAGAGAGGACCAGCTGGGAGTGACTGGAAGCGTGTTATGGATTGCTTTATTTCTGTTTTCTCTTCTCTCAAGCAAAGTACACCAAAGGCCAGTTCCAGTCTCTGTCCATTAGTAAGATCTAGAAGAAGTGAGCTTGGGGGCCTGGCCTCTTCAAGACTTCACCTTTGAGTTCCTTCTTTCATTAAAGAATTGAGCCCAGTGCCAAACTTGGACACTCAAGAGAGCTCTGGAAGTCCCAGCTGTCTCTGCATCCAACTAAACACTGAGCATCCTGAGTTTGATACCCAGAAGAAATGGGGCTCAGGGAGGTTAAGGAAGCGAGGAGAGGGTGGACCGGTCCTCCCCTGTGAGGAAGGGCACAGGGGCCTGGACGGTTCTCCTTGCAAACCAGAGCCCCAGCAGCAAGATTCTGAAAGACTCAGCCAGTCGACACATGGGCCACACACAGCCGAGAAATGACACAGCGTGAGGGCGATGCATGAATACACAGAGAGAAACACACACACACAGTGACGCCAGATGGAGAATGCAGCCCGGCTGGGCCCGGGTATTCGTTATTCTCTCACCCACACAGAGGGGCTGGTGGAGTTACGTAATGCAGACTGCAAAAAAGAGGCTGAACTCGCTAACCACCCTGCTCTTGAGGGGATCCAGGAGGATGCACTTCCTTCAAGGAGGGTGGTCTCTGCACCCACCTGCTGCTTCCAGAGGCAGAAGGAGCTTGTCAGCTGCCTCAGCCCTGGGGTGACCCCGGGAAGTCGCTAAAAGGGAAACGAGGGAGTGAGTGTCAGTTTGTTAGTCATGGCAGATGGGGGCTCCCTCCTTGTGTGAAAGCTTGATGAGGATGTTGGCAGGAAATGGTGCTGGGATGGAGATGGAACTGGGATTTGAGAGGGGGTTAGGAGAAGAGATGGAGGGGCTCTCGGATGTCCCCACAGATCCCCACCTCATCCACAACCCACAGATCGCCTAGACACATCAGACACATTTACATAGCTACACACCTACACAGCCTCTGGACACCTGCCACAGGTGTAGGCACCTCACCTGGCCACAGCATCCCCAGCTGTCCCCACCACTGCCACTGGCCTTTGGCACCCCATCCACACCGCATATCCCTGAGTCGGGGAGTCGGGGACTTGGAAGTTGCCAGCATTTCAGGGAGCAAAGATGGGAGTTGAGAAAATAACTAGAATATAAACTTAAAATAATTGGAGTATATGTTTGAAAGCTCTGGATCGAGAATAGGGCTAACTCAAGTTCAAGTCCTCCCTCTGCCACTCATTACTCTCCATGTGACCTTGCACAAGCTGCTGAACCTTCCCAAGCTTCGGTCTCCTCATCTATTGAGGGGTTATCGTGAGGATCAAAGGGAAAAATATATATGTTAAGAGTGTAAGTGCTCGGGCAGAGCCTGTGGCGCACTCGGGAGAGTGCGGTGCTGTGAGCGCAGCAGCGCTCCCGCCGCGGGTTCGGATCCTGTATAGGGATGACCAGTGCGCTCACAGCACTCACTGGCTGAGTGCGGTGCAGCCAGTCTCAAAAAGGACAAAAAAAAAGAGTGTAAGTGCTCGGGCAGAGCCTGTGGCGCACTCGGGAGAGTGCGGTGCTGTGAGCGCAGCAGCGCTCCCGCCGCGGGTTCGGATCCTGTATAGGGATGACCAGTGCGCTCACAGCACTCACTGGCTGAGTGCGGTGCAGCCAGTCTCAAAAAGGACAAAAAAAAAGAGTGTAAGTGCTCAGTGAGTGTCTGCTGTGTTTAGTCTTTGGGGGTTTTTCTTCTTCAGTCAACAGATATTCTTTGAGCACCTACTGTGTACCTATGCTAACCCTCAGTGTACAAAGTCCACTCTTCCTGACGCATCTCCATCAGGGTTTCAGGTGGTCTGTGGAGTGCAAGAGGTGTCTTTCAGAGTTTTGCGTGGACCCATCTCTTTGGTATTTATACTGTTTTTAATGTGGCCAAGTCTATCTTCTTGAACTTAGAATAAACTAATAATTACAAAAATGGTCGTGAAGGCCAATTGACACCCCTCATCAGCAGGTTCATAGAAGGTGGCATCATCCCCATTCCGGTGGGTGTTGTTGTAGGATTTTGAGGGTGGCTGGGATGGAAAGCCCAGAGATCTGTTTCAGCTGAACTCCTGAGCTGTGAGTGGGGAATATTTGCAAGACACAGAGATCATCAGGACGCATGACAAGTTGAAGTGGTGACTTCTTACGGTGGGAAAGAGATCAGCGAGGTCTTATGATTCTTCATTTCATTTTTACGGCTGACTGTTTGAGGTTCCGCCAAGCAGACCCTTTGGTCTCGGAGGGTTTCTATCATGGAGATGAAACTGGGCAATTTGCAGATTTGCAAGACACAGAGATCATCAGGACGCATGACAGGTTGAAGTGGTGACTTCTTACGGTGGGAAAGAGATCAGCGAGGTCTTATGATTCTTCATTTCATTTTTACGGCTGACTGTTCGAGGTTTCCCCAAGCAGACCCTTTGGTCTCGGAGGGTTTCTATCATGGAGATGAAACTGGGCAATTTGCAGATAACTGGGAAAGGTGGCCCCCTTCAGGAAAAAGGATTTAGTTTCGAGGTTGGGTTCACGATTCTGGGATGTCTTGTGTCTAGACTTGTCAGTTGGCTGCATTTCCATTTTAGTTTTGAGGGTGATGTTGGGCATTCCACTTCATTCTCTCTTTTTTTCTTCTGTTCATCCCCTCCCTTGTTTCTTTTCAGCTCCAGAAACCCTAGATCAGATCTGCATGTAACAGGCTGGTGACCAAGATGCCCAGAGAATAGTCCACATCCATCATGCGTCACTTCTAGACACATCCACCAGACTCTTCTCCTCCCCAGTCTGCCTGACCTATTGCTTAGGGACGCGTCCCACCACTTCTGCTGACGTCTGCCTGGTCAACCATCACTTCCTTGGAGAACAAGGAGGGAGACAAACCCATGAAATCATGCCACCAACAGCAGAACGGCAATGAGTGGGTGACGCTGAGTTGACGTCAAAGACAGAGAAGACTGAATCCTCTGCAGCACCTGTCCCCCCAGATCCCCCTCTCGGCACAGCCTGAAGCCTGCTCTGCCTGGTACAGTCATCTGGGCTTGATACGCTCTGTGGTCTGCAGACAGGACCCTGGGAAGGCAGACGCCATGGAGGATCACCTGTTTGGTGTTCAGCAAATCCAACCCAATGTCATCTCTGTCCGCCTCTTCAAGCGCAAAGTGGGGGGTCTGGGATTCCTGGTGAAGGAACGGGTCAGCAAGCCCCCTGTGATCATCTCCGACCTGATTCGAGGGGGTGCCGCAGAGCAGAGCGGCCTCATCCAGGCCGGAGACATCATCCTTGCAGTCAACGGCCGGCCCCTGGTGGACCTGAGCTATGACAGTGCCCTGGAGGTGCTCAGGGGCATTGCCTCTGAGACCCATGTGGTCCTCATTCTGAGGGGACCCGAGGGCTTCACCACGCACCTGGAGACCACCTTCACTGGGGACGGGACCCCCAAGACCATTCGGGTGACACAGCCCCTGGGTCCCCCCACCAAAGCCGTTGATCTATCCCACCAGCCATCGGCCAGCAGAGAGCAGCCACTGTCAGTGGACAAGGCCATAGGTCCCGGGAATGGGCCTCAGCATGCCCAAGACAATGGGCAGGAAGCTGGCTTGCTCCCCCACACCAATGGCCTGGGCCCCAGGCCCCCACACCAGGACGCTGCCAGGAAAAGTGCCAGCCTCCAACACAGTGGGGAGGACAATGAACTGCTCCGAGAGATAGAGCCTGTACTGGACCTGCTCAGCAGCGGAGGCCAAGGCACCAAGGCAGGGGAACCTGCCAAGGCAGAGACGAGAGATGCAGGAGTCCAGGTGGACAGGTAAGCTCCACAGGTATGTGTGTGTGTGTGCACGCATGTCCGCTGAGCCTCAGCCTCACTGTCCAGAAGCCACCCTGGGCTATCTCAGACACCTGCACCTGCACATCCACTTGACCACCCTTGATTGTCCCTTAAAATGACAATTGCAAGAGGTGAATGGGCATACCTTCTAGGATGTTTCCCTGGCCCTGAAACTCAGAGCTAATTAATAACCACAGTAGCAGACATTGTGTCCTCCCATCTTTATCCCATGTAATCCCCCAGGAACCCTAAAAGGTGGGTATTTTTGCAATCTGCCTTTCACATGCAAGAGATGGGGACTTAGAGTAGGGACCTATCCTGAGGTCACCCTGCAAGTGAGAGGTGTGTATACATGGCACACTTGGGTATAGGGCTCATGCCAAGGCCCTGGGAGGAAAGGGGAAGAGCTGAGCCCCAGGCCATGCCCAGCCTAGGCCAGCCTTCTCCTGGCGACAGCCAGTAGAGGACAAGGAAGGTTCTAGAGGAGGAGAAAGGAATCAAAATACACGATTGGCCCCAACTCCCCAAAAGAGCAGTCTTGCTCAGATAATGTGGGAGCTGAGGTTAGAACTTAAAGAATTGGGTACCAGCCCTTTTGTTGGCCTCACTGGCATTTTCTGTTTCTCTGGGGGAGGAGAGCTGGCAACACAGTGGGTGATGCTGGTTCCTCTTCTGGGGGGACCTCAGCAGCTAGGTCAGGTGGTCAGAGGATAATGGGTCAGGAGATTGGACAGAGAGGGAGAGAAGTTTCTCTCTGCCCCTCCACTCTCATCGTAGGCTTGGCACTGGCCAGAGAGCCCCCAGTGCTGCCAGTGTGGGTCTAGGCATACCCAGAGTCAGGCTCAGGTCTGGGGCCACCTAGAAATCCAGGCCAAGATTTCCTAGATCCCTCCCCACCAACCCCTAAGTGTCTTAAGAGTATTTAGAGATCTCCAGGAAGCCCCTTGGGGGCCTGGATTAAAGTAACTCCCCAGGCCCCTGCATTCATTCATTTAACAAATGTGTGTTGAGGACCTACTGTGTGCCGGGCACTGTTCTAGGCTCTAGGGGTAGAGCAATGAGTGAAATAGACAAATCCTCTGACCTTATGAGTTAATGAAACAGACAAATTCCCCGGCCTTGGGGAGCTTACAGTGTAGTGGGGAAGACAGACAATAAACAAATATATAAATACATAGTGAGAAGTGCTAGGAGATAAAATGGGGACGGAAATCGGAAGAGTTGGGGAGGGGGAAATTTTAAATGGGGAGCTTGGGGCAGGTCTCACTAGGAAGGCAGCATTTAAAGACCTAGCGGAAGGGAGGGAGGGAGCCTGGCAGCTTTCTGGCAGGAAGGGCAGCCCAGGCAGGGAGAATAGCCAGTGCAAAGGTCCTGAGGTAGGAATGTGCCTGGCGTGTCTGAGGAACTGTGTGGGATCCAGTCCCAAAGCTGCCCTTTGGTGGCCCCTCAGTCTGTGGCAGCCTGTCTCAGCCTAACATCGTATCCTGGGGTTTTCCTAACTTCCCACACCTTGGCAAAAACTGAGCCAATTCCAGCAAGAGCCCAGAGCCTCCCAGGTAGGAATATGGAGGCTGCATTGGAGCCCCTGGGAAAAGGGGGACGAGAGCCACTCTCTGTCCTTTAAGGCCCTGCCCTCCAAGCCACTCCTTTTTTCCTCTGTAAGTTCCTTGAGGACAGCCTGGAGTCTCCCCCACACCTTTGATTCTCATCTCTCAGAAAAGGAAGACAGAGACTTTTGACCCCAATATACAGAGCATGGGGTGACCCCCTCGGTGGGGCGATGTTTGGGGGCTTCTGTTGCCCTGGACATCCATTTCCAGAACGGTCTTCAAGGTTCTGGTTGGTGGAGATTTGAGGCCTGGTTCACCCATGACGAGCTCAGGAGCCCTCCTAGGCTAGAACCCAGTTCTCAGGGGAACTGCCACCTCCTGGGGTAGGTTGGGGGTGTCCCTGTGGCAGCACACCCATTGGAAGTGGAATGTTTAGGCCTTGATGTATCCTCTGGGCATCCAGCAGGCCTCCCGAGTCTCAGTCAGTGGACTTCAATTCTAAAGCAGCTGCAGAACCCAGAATCGAAGGCATTGGCCTTGTTTGCCAGGAGACATTGGAAAGTGTCCCTGTCCAAAGGCTGCCCTTAGGCATGACTTCTGCCTCCCAATCCTATGCGACCTTCCCCATTCCTCAACACCACCTCTCCTGAGAAAAGCAGCAAGAACGCAGAACGGGGGCAGGAGAGCGCTGGCCCCTCCCCGTGCACAGCTGAACCTAATGTATCTAATGTGACCTGCACTTGATTGTGAGTCTCAGCTGGGCACGGGGTGGGCATGGGTGGTGAGTTTCAGAATTCCCATGGGCTCTATTTCAGTCACACCCCGAGCACCCCGGGAGTCTGAATCTCCATGGGCGACATGGAGAAGTCCCCCAGAGGATCCACAACTGGGAGCTGGGTCCTACCCCTCCAAGGTGCTCATTGGATCCTCTTCCTCAGTTGACGGTCTGGGACACAAAGCTTGGCACAGAACAGGAGATTTGGTTGTGATGGGAAAAATTTGAACTGGGGCCCTCTAAGTAGCCAGGCTCTAGGGGTTTGTCCAAACACCATCTCAGAGAAGCAACCTCCTGCCTTTGTTTCCCCAAAGATGAGGGAGGGACAAGCCAGTCCGATGTGAGATCCTGCCCTACCTTTTTCCAACTAGGAGCCTACATCTAAGCTGTCAACCTTCCCTCACCCATCATGGTCCTCCCTGTAGTGGCCCCATCTCAACCTGGCACATGATGAGGTGGTTTGACCAAAGCAGCAGAAAAACAAACTGCTTCAGAGGTGCTAAGGTTTGGGGGAAAGTGGCCCAGGGCAAGTACAGGGCTCTGTGAAACCCACTTAGGTGAATAGTTCTAAAAATGAGTCATAGTTAATAATAGCACCACCACCCCCCCCTTTTAAACAAATATTTTTAAATGCGTCCTTTACTAACTGGAAGCGGATTCATGGATAAAAAAGTGGCCCAGGGCAAGTACAGGGCTCTGTGAAACCCACTTAGGTGAATAGTTCTAAAAATGAGTCATAGTTAATAATAGCACCACCACCACCACCCCTTTTAAACAAATATTTTTAAATGCGTCCTTTACTAACTGGAAGCGGATTCATGGATAATATCACCTATCCCACACTTTATATTTTTTTAACCAACATAATGCCCTGACCATAAGATAAAGGAGACAGCATAAAGTAGCTTACAATAAAAGAAGCTGTAATTGAATGTATCAGGGCTCAGACATGACTCTGCTGGAATGGTCAGATGTTTGAGCCTAAACATAGAATTGCTGCAAACACAACAGCATCGAAAGCAGGCTGACACAGGTGTGTTGTTTTGGCAACTCAAATGCCACCAGCAGCGTCGCCTTGGTGATGCAATTTTCCGAAATGGTGATGACTCCTGATAAAACAATGGGTAAATCAGTCTTTCCTTGATTTCCCCGTTAGCTACATGCACGGAAAATTTGAGATTTTGTTTTTGTTTTTGTTTTTGTCTTTTTCGTGACCAGTAAGGGGATCACAACCCTTGGCTTGGTGTCACCCGCACCGCGCTCAGCCAGTGAGTGCACCGGCCAGTCCTATATAGGATCCAAACCCGTGGCGGAAGCGCCGCTGCATTCCCAGTGCTGCACCCTCCCAAGTGCGCCACGGGGCCGGCCCAAAAACTTGAGATGTTTTAAAACCGTATTTATACCCGAGAGAACTGGGATCTCGGCCCAGGAATTTAAGCCTGATTTTATATACATGAAGGTCCACAGGTCGGGTTGCAGTCAGGACCCTTTCTCCTTGTGTAGGTTTGTCTCCTTGTGGCAGGACGTCTACTATGCTTGATGCCACCTCCCTCCTGCTAACGTGCCAGGAACACCCGCCCCCCATCGTTGCAACAACCAAAAGTTGCCCCCACGAATTGCCAAACTGCATCCTGGGGGCTGAAATGAGGACCTCATTAAGAATCAGTATCCCAAGTCAGGAATTAGAAGCCCAAAGACAGAATGTTCTTTGGGGTCACTGTTGGGACTGGCAGGACTAAGATGGTTCAAGTCCCTTGAAGCACACGGCTGCCTAGAAAATTCTCATCCTCCCAAAGACCTTTCTGTACAGGTTCCATTTGGGGTGGGGGTTGGCACTGGCATCCTGGATGACGCTCAACCAGCTTGGGTAACAGTGAGGCCACCAGGCCCAGAGCCCCACATCCAGGGTCGGTGGCTTCTGGAGGCTGTCACTGGCTCGCTGCAGTGCTTTTGTCTTTCCCGCTCTGTTGCCCTCATTTTCTTCCCTCCTTCCCTCCTTCCTCTTGGAAGCAGACAAAATCTCCTGCTCCATCTCTTCATTTCCTCATGGGGCATTCCTGTTATTTGGTGGGGGACGTGGCACTTATTTGGGGGAAGAAGTGACGTTTACTCTAGAGGCAGCCTCATCCCTTCATCCCAGGAGGAAGGTGGCCCCGGCAGGAGGTGGCAGGAAGTGTGAGAAAGGAAGCAGTGAATCCAAGGGCTTCTGGCACCTTCTGCACTTGGAGCGGTCACTTTAAAATGCTGCATGTCGGAGAATATCCAGGTTGCTCAGCTTGCTGCCCTGAAGGAGGGTTCTAAAGAGGCCAAGGTCCCCGGTCCAGCATCCATCTGGACCAGCAAGTTGGCCTCACCCTGAGCCCTGATAACCCCTCCCCCAATAGTCACCTCTTCAGAGATTGTGTGAATTCTGCCCCATAAGTAGGACGTGTGGTTTTAGCCCACTTTTATACTTGAGGGTACTGAGGCTCAGAGAGGTGAAGCAACTCACCCAGGGTCACACAGAACTGACTACAGGATGCTGTCCTGCCTCTACCTAGAAGTCTCAGGACAAGCATCTAAAATTAAATGAAAACCTGGAAAGAAAATGTGGCTGGAGGAACAGAAGTCAATTTCAACCCTAGAGAATCAGCTTAATTGCGGAGGTGGAGGGG